CCTTCTGATGTAGAGTCTGTACAGTAGAATCCCTCCATTGGTTCACAAACTGTGTCTGCAGTTATTTTACATCCCAACCTTTCCTTCAGACCAGCTCCTGTGAACACATACAGATTCCACATGTATGGAGGGAACTGACATCAGCAATGGTGAACATCAAGACATCTTTAAGTGAGACAAAACAGCAGAGATACCAGAATCATTCTCATGATTTATGTTTGTGTTCTAAATAATAGCAGTCCAACATCACTAAGATTAGTCACTGTTTCTATAGAAATTATATTTCTGCATTGTAAGTAAATTTATGTCAGGTGTAGAGCGACGCTTCTTCCAATCATGACATGAATGCTGCTGATTCTGTTTATTTATATCATGAACTGAAATTAGCAAGATGAAAAGGATCAACCACATAAAGTGAGTGAGGAATTATTTTCTGAAAAATAAAATGATAAAGGCTTCAGATCATCAATTTTTTTAACACTCTGCAGATATTACAATATAACTGTTTGTGGCATTGAGGAAGCACATGTGAAACCAATTTCATCAAACAAAACAAAACTTTTAAAAAAAGTTGAAGTTTCAACATAACTACACCTGAGTCACAGGTAGAACATGGAGTGCATCTCTTTAGTCCGTTTGGATGGTCCATGAAAGTCCCATCTGTGCAGGGCGAACAGGATGTATTTTCAAACTCTGTACAGTCTGCTTTGACTCTTTTACCTGTTGGAAAATAAAAGTTTCTCAATTTAAATGCAGGATAGTCCTTTGCATGATGAACAAACTTCAGGCAATGAAAGCAGTATAACTGTAGCAGTCTATGTCAGAATAAACCATAATTTATAACTAACTGGAACATACCAATAGGACACATAAGACAGCACTTTTCTCCCATCTTGTACTCAGTTTGATGACATGTGACTGAATCGACTCTGAAGTCTCTCACCAGAATCATCTGTGAAGAGGTTTTCCAAGAATTAGAACCAGATTTCCTGCGGAAAGGCTCAAATCCCTTTTAGATCAGTTATTTATTTGCCTTGTTTTGATTAACTTTAGCAGTTCAGTTTTATGTCAACAAGATTAATTTATATCAACAGTTATAATGTTAGGCTAGCTTAATAGCGGTCAATAATTTTTTTAGCATCATTTGCTATTATTGAGTTTGGCTCAGTTTATCTATAAAGTTCCAATTCACATTTCATTTCAAGGAACATCACAAGACTATTTATATCCAGAAAAACAACAAGCAATACAATTTAGTTCTAGAGATCCAAATTTGATGACATGCAGATTCCTTCTGTTTTACTTTTCTGTCAAACCTAAATGTTTCAGATCATAAAACACCTCTCAAAAATATCAGATGAACATAACCTGAGTGAATGCAAAATATTTTTTAAAGATAATTTTATATAGTAAAATTAAAGTACATAATTTAAAAACTAGTTTAAAGAGCACAAATACACAAAGAATTTACTCAGTAAGATAAGTAAATGTAATTTGTTATGTTTTACCTAGATTACTTAAAGATATTCGGCAACACTTTTAGACATCTTACAATATGTTTTTTTTTTTTTTTTTACAAAAAACATGATAAAAATTAATTTGTTTTTTAAATATTTAGATGTGATTATGAAGATACTCAAAGTTAAACTAGTCAGGAAATTACCATTTTATAAGAAACAATGTTGTATTAAATTATCCATTGCTATAACATAAATAAATTTACCAGGAGCACAGGCATCGCAGCCTCATTTTTTCTTCTTGAAATCATTCTCAAAGGTAGGAGTAAACTTCTCTGGGGCTCAACAAATCCAAATTCCTCAACCTGTAAAAGAAAGTGAAAGTATAAAGGTGTGGTTCCCTTCAAGTATTAACAACAATCACTAAATTTTCCCCAAGTTCAAGATAACACAGAGAGAAAGGTATTTATTACAATTAAATACTGTTTATTTTAAATCCAAATAAAGTCCTTGGTGTTCACCTTGGTGCAGTTAAATTTCTGCACCCCGGTGAACACACATCCATTTCCATTTCTAACAACCTTTTTACACATGGAAATTGACATTCATAAAAAGGAAGTTAACTTTATTTTTGGTGTCACACTGTGATTGGTTGTGTAACACCAAACTGAAGGCTTAATGCCAAAAATTCACAGGCCCCGAGTCAGGAAAACATACTTCCTCACAGTTACAGCACACAGAAGAAAGGGAAACAGATTTTTGCTTAACAAAGCAGTTTGAAAGAGACTTTAACTCTCAGCATCAGTTTTTATGTCTTTTGTTTACGATCCTTAAAGTGTCAGTGAAAAAATAGACACCCTAAACTAACTTAACATTAAAACGCCATTACAAATGCAGATGTGTAACTGAAAGAGAAACCAACCGTCGGTGTTTATATTTGTGAAGGTACGTTTGTTGAATTTACATGTAAAATAACTTCGGTTTATTTTGTCAGCTGAATATGAGTCACTGGTGTTAGGAACAGAAAACATCAATTATTCCCAGCTAAGCTTTAGATTACTAAAGTCCGTGAACCCTAAAGTCCATGTCGTAGATGGATTTTGAAATGAATCCTTTCACACACACGCATACACACCCAAACTTACCTTCACAAATATAAACTCCGAGGATTTTTCTCTTTCAGTTACGCATCTTCTGCATTTGTAATGGCGTTTAATGTTAAATTAGAATAGGTAGTCTATGGCTAGTCCCATAATATTATTTTTAATGTCTATGGTTCGACCAGCCCAGCAAAAACCTGGACTAAAAATCTCGGCTACCTATATTCTAACGCTGTTACGTATACAGGTGTCTGTTACATTTGCTGTTGCGCAAACAGAGCAGGAGATTATAAGGTTGTCTGCGCCAAAATTATACGTTGAACTTGTGGTGTTTTATCATTTTATAAAGCGAAAATAAATTTTGTTACTTCATCGTTAATTTAGTGGCTTACTAAAGAAAATAAAAGATTCATAGTTCCCGTGTATTGCACGTGATTATTTCAACAACCTTTATAAGAGGACGATCACATTGATGTAAACTCGATTCAACTTTCATTATAAACTGCAACAAGTAAACGATGTGTTCGTCTCCAGACGTCCTGTTAAAACCTATTTCCTATCATTGCTTCATGTTACAAAGTCTGCTGCAAGCTAAAAATCCACATTCCTGAATTTATCACTCTTGGAAAATGCATTGTTACAAAACACATTGTCTAACCCAGTGGTTCTTAACCTTTTTTGAGGTACCGAACCCCCCAGTTTCATATGCGCATTCACCAATTAACTTGGTCCTTTGTTTCAACGTTGACCTCCCAGTACTCTCACCTCTTCATCCGTCTCTCCTCACTGGTTTCTTCCATTCCTCCTTTCTGGAATGTTTCTGTGTTTAGTTTTCCTTGGATTTATGATTTGTTTTCTGTCCTGATCTCTGTAGAGTTTTTGCAAGTTTTTTATTCCTCATCTTTCACTAAACCAGTTTTTAATCACCGACTCCACATCTCTGTCGTTCTGCATTTGGATCCTCCATCAACCAACCTACAAATCATGACACCAAAATATATTAAAATACAAAGTGAATAACCAAAATGATAACTGGCAGATTTAAATTTAGCATCATTTAGATTCAGTCAAGAAGTAGGTAGGAAAGGAGACAACTAATATTTTAATAAGTTTCTATTTTCAGAGTATTAAAATACCACATAGAACATTATATTCTTCTCAATAATTAATTGAAAAAGTTTTACTGATGTTAAAGGGCAATAGAATGCATTTTCTGTGCAATTTTTATTGCTAGTAACTTACTTTCAGTCATTATAAAAATGCTACATGTCAAACATAATATAAATTTAACTTCACAATTTGATGCCTTAAATTGGGTTTCTATCTCTTTAAGAAGCTCTTGCTCTTTCCAACACTTTGTCTTCAGCACATCATCACAACAATGTTTAATTATCCCATTTGCAACTGTTCTGATGTACTTTTCACTGAGAAGCAGTTCACATAAGCTCAGCAGACACACAGATCCAGCAGGCACTTTCTGGCTGGACAGCCTGAAATGCTTCTACAGATTCTCATCAGATTGAACACAGGACTCTGGCTGAGTCACTCCACAATGTTAACTCAATCAGAAAATTACTTGAAACCTAAATGCAGCAAATTTGGTGCTTAACTGTTTGTGTTGGATGTTTACACCTTTGAGCATCCACACAATCTGTGTATGTCATCAACTCAATAAATAGTATTTTTGTTATCAGACTTATTTCATTCAACACTACCAGAATCTGTATCGTCATCTAGTGCCCCATGTTGTTGAGCCACAGAGTCTGTCAGAAGCAGAACATTTACAATAGCAACTGATCCAGGTTCAGAAAGTTTTCTTTCACTCTCAGCTGGGATCAAAATGATTTTCTCATCTAAAGTTACATCTATAGTCACTGCTGAGCAGAACTCAACTTATGAATGGCCCAGGTAATTCACATTTTCACAACTTTGCTACAAAGATCACTATGATGAAATAAATTTGTGATAATAAAAGCATGACGTTATTTAAAAAAAGGAAATTTATTATGTACAAAGTTATCCACTTGTGCCTTTTTATCTGTTCAGGATTAGATGTTCAGGCTTTTTAAGAAGACCTAAAACATATTAGCAATATTAAAATTTTATGTCAGGTTCTTGTGGATAAAGTCACTGATGAGATTCTGAGTATACAGGTTTCTTATAAAACTGTACAAAAGACTTAGTTTCGTTTCACATGGAGTCATTGATTTACTGATGGCAGGACTTTGCCCTGCAGTCGGCGGGTTGCTGGTTCTATCCTGGCTCCACCTGCCTCTGTCGTCGTGTCCTTGGGCAGGACAGTTCATCTGCCTCGCCTGCTGGTGGTCAGAGGACCTGGTGGTGATGATGAATAGCAGGCTCACTTCTGTCAGACGTGAAACCATCAGCTTGTGTGTGTGAATGACTGGCTGTCGTGTAAAGTGCTTTGGTGTCCTCTGATCTTGATGAAACGCTGATGAACAGCTTGATGAACAAGCCACTAACTGTCTATTACCTAATCTAATCATTCAGGGTTACAGTCACAGATCTGATACTTTGACAATAAACAGTCAAGTTCTACAACTTTTTCTCCTGTACAGTGTGATGGATGTAGAGTGACGACCATGGATGGTGGAGAAGGGAGTTTGAGTTTTAGCTGTTCTTTCTGATCACTGTAAAAACAATGACTCAGTTTCTAGTTTGGTTCAATTCAGATCCTGAATCATTTGATCTACAGTGATCAGTGATTTTCATCCAGGTGTTTATCTTGGGGTTTCTTGCACTGTACATAGAAAATTTTAAAAAAGGCACCAAATCAATTAAATACTGATGGAAACATCCAGAACAGCAGCTCAAGCAGAATCAGATCAGTTTGATTTCATTCCTTAGAGAGAAAAATCTCAGGTTTTCAGAGCAATGCCCAGAAAAACTGTCTGATAATATTCAAGTAAAGAACAATGTTCTTCTTACCTGGCAAAGCGACTTCCTCTTCTGCTCCTCCTGCTTGGCCCTTTAATGTAGAAAAGACAAATTATTTGGTAAAATAAATTTTGGCATCAATATCTATTCACATTACAATTCAGTTATAAACCTACTTACCCCTCGTTGTTGGTTTGTAGAACTGTCTGTTAAAAATGAAATGTTACAATTATTAAAACAGTAATTTTTTTTAGAATGCTAATATTTTAATTTGTATTTATTCATCTCACTTGGTTTTGTATTTTTGTGATATTTCCAGAGAAAAACACCACCACCAATTGTTGCTGCAACTAAAAAAAACAGAACTCCGATCACAATTCCTGTGGTGTTGGAACTTTTTTCTCCACATTCAGCATCAGTTGAAGATGTTCCTGCTTTTATCAGCTGAAGGTTTTCTTTTTCACATCTGAAATGACAGAAACATGCATCCAGGTAAATTATTTGGTAAAACTTTCTCCTGTGTTTTACTGTTTGTAAGAGACTATCTTACTGTGTGTGAGGCTGACATGACAACATTGTTCCATCAGAAAATGATCCACTGCTGCATTCAGAGCATTCTGTGTCTGTGGAGGCTGTTCCTGTACAAACACAGATCAGTTTAAAGTTAGTCAGAAGATTCTGATCTGACTTTCAGTTCTGATCAACATGTAACTCAGTTTATTCTTTTCAAATGTTCAAAAGTCAGAATTTATCTAAAATTCAGAGCATTTATATATTGAAGAGAATCAGACCAACCCATCTTGCTGATGAACTGTCCTGGTTCACATCTCCTGTGTTTCTGTGCTGCAGCACAGCCTTCTGATTTAAGGTCTGTACAGTAGAATCCCTCCATGGGTTCACAAACTGTGTCAGCATTAAGTTGACATCCTAACTTTTCCTTCAGACCAGCTCCTGTGAACATATACAGATTCCACATGTATGGAGGAAACTGACATCAACTTGGTGAACCTCATTTAAATGAGTCAGAATAGTTTCTACAAGTGAATGAAAAGGGAAATCTCAATAAATGATTTACAGTTGTGTTCAAAATGATAGCAGTCCAACATCACTAACCAGATCAATTCATTCACCCATTCACACACACATTCACACATTCATGGAGGTAAGCTACATTGTAGCCACAGCTGCCCTGGGGCAGACTGACAGAGGCAAAGCTACAATGCACCAGTGCCATGACCAGCAGGGACAGTGAGTGAAGCGTCCTTCCCAAGAACAGGAGCATCTAGTTTATATACTTTATAAACTGTAGAATTCTTCTTATTTTAGACCAATATTTAGCTTATTATTATCCAAGAAAAAAGAAACTCCTATTAGTCTACCCAGAAAAACTCCCTATAGCTTTTGTTCTTATAACAGGAGCATCTAGTTTATATATTTAGGAATTAGAACAAAGAGAAACTCCGATTAGCTTATCTAGAGAAACTATTCATTACCTTAGATCAACATTGTCAGAACAAGAATCCAGAGAAACCCCTGCTAGTTTATAAATCACGGACTACTACGGTGCTTACTCTTACATGGGGTTATACTTTATATTTCCGTTTCCTTCGTTTACGCTTTCTTTTGGTTTGTTGTTTTGTTGTATTTCCTTCTAATTCATGTAAAGCACTTTGAATTGCCCTGTTGCTGAAAATGTGCTGTATAAATAAAATTACCTTACCTATTCATAAATTGGGTAAGCAAAACTAGGAAAACATGCAAATGCTCTTAAAGGGGACTCATTATGCAAAATTCACTTTTTGCATGTTTTCATACTTCCATTTAGGTTTNTTTGACTCTTTTGCCTGTTGGAAAATAAAAGTTTCTCAATTTAAAATGCAGGATAGTCCTTTGCATGATGAACAAACTTCAGGCAATGAAAGCAGTGTAACTGTAGCAGTCTATGTCAGAATAAACCATAATTTATAACTAACTGGAACATACCAATAGGACACATAAGACAGCACTTTTCGCCCATCTTGTACTCAGTTTGATGACATGTGACTGAATCGACTCTGAAGTCTCTCACCAGAATCATCTGTGAAGAGGTTTTTCCAAGAATTAGAACCAGATTTCCTGCAGAAAGGCTCAAATCCCTTTTAGATCAGTTATTTATTTGCCTTGTTTTGATTAACTTTAGCAGTTCAGTTTTATGTCAACAACATTAATTTATATCAACAGTTATAATGTTAGGCTAGCTTAATAGCAGTCAATAATTTTTAGCATCATTTGCTATTATTGAGTTTGGCTCAGTTTATCTATAAAGTTCCAATTCACATTTCATTTCAAGGAATATCACAAGACTATTTATATCCAGAAAAACAACAATCAATACAATTTAGTTCTCCAAATTTGATGACATGCAGATTCCTTTTGTTTTACTTTTCTGTCAAACCTAAATGTTTCAGATCATAAAACACCTCTCAAAAATATCAGACGAACATAACCTAAGTGAATACAAAATATTTTTTAAAGATAATTTTATATAGTAAAATTAAAGTACATAATTTAAAAACTAGTTTAAAGAGCACAAATACACAAAGAATTTACTCCGTAAGATAAGTAAATGTAATTTGTTATGTTTCACCTAGATTACTTAAAGATATTCGGCAACACTTTTAGACATCTTACAATATGTATTTTTTTTTTTTTTTTTTTACAAAAAACATGATAAAAATTAATTTGTTTTTTAAATATTTAGATGTGATTATGAAGATACTCAAAGTTAAACTAGTCAGGAAATTACCATTTTATAGAAACAATGTTGTATTAAATTATCCATTGCTATGTCATAAATAAATTTACCAGGAGCACAGGCATCGCAGCCCCAGTTTTTCTTCTTGAAATCATTCTCAAAGGTAGGAGTAAACTTCTCTGGGGCTCAACAAATCCAAATTCCTGAACCTGTAAAAGAAAGTGAAAGTATAAAGGTGTGGTTCCCTTCAAGTATTAACAACAATCACTAAATTTTCCCCAAGTTCAAGATAACACGGAGAGAAAGGTATTTATTACAATTAAATACCGTTTATTTTAAATCCAAATAAAGTCCAACTTGGGTTCACCTTGGTGCAGGTGAATTTCTGCACCACGGTGAACACACATCCATTTCCATTTCTAACAAACTTTTTACATTGGAAATTGACATTCATAAAACGGAAGTTAACTTTATTTTTGGTGTGTCACACTGTGATTGGTTGTGTGACACCAAACTGAACGCTTAATGCAAAAACTCACAGATCCCGAGTCATCAAAACACACTTCCTCACAGTTACAGCACACAGAAGAAAGGGAAACAGATTTTTGCTTAGCAAAGCAGTTTGAAAGAGACTTTAACTCTCAGCATCAGTTTTTATGTCCTTTGTTTACGATCCTTAAAGTGTCAGTGAAAAAATAGACACCCTAACTTGACATTAAAACGCCATTACAAATGCAGTAGATGTGTAACTGAAAGAGAAACCAACCGTCGGTGTTTATATTTGTGAAGGCACGTTTGTTGAATTTACATGTAAAATAACTTCGGTTTATTTTGTCAGCTGAATATGAGTCACTGGTGTTGGGAACAGAAAACATCAATTATTCCCAGCTAAGCTTTAGATTACTAAAGTCCGTGAACCCTAAAGTCCATGTCGTAGACGGATTTTGAAATGAATCCTTTCACACTCACGCATACACACCCAAACTTACCTTCACAAATTTAAACTCCGAGGATTGGTTTCTCTTTCAGTTACGCATCTTCTGCATTTGTAATGGCGTTTTCATGTTAAATTAGTATAGGTAGTCTATGGCTAGTCCCATAATATTATTTCTAATGTCTATGGTTCGACCAGCCCAGCAAAAACCTGGACTAAAAATCTCGGCTACCTATATTCTAACGCTGTTACGTATACAGGTGTCTGTTGCATTTGCTGTTGCGCAAACAGAGCAGGAGATTATAAAGTTGTCTGCGCCAAAGTTATACGTTGAACTTGTGGTGTTTTATCATTTTATAAAGCGAAAATAAATTTTGTTACTTCATCGTTAATTTAGTGGGTTACTAAAGAAAATAAAAGATTCATAGTTCCCGTGTATTGCACGTGATTATTTCAACAACCTTTATAAGAGGCCGATCACATTGATGTAAACTCGATTCAACTTTCATTATAAACTGCTCTCAACAAGTAAACATTGTGTTCGTCTCCAGACGTCCTGTTAAAACCTATTTCCTATCATTGCTTCATGTTGCAAAGTCTGCTGCAAGCTAAAAACCCACATTCCTGAATTTATCACTCTTGCAAAACACATTGTTGCAAAACAATTGTCTAACCCTAACCCTATCTGGATCACGTGGATTCACGTTTCCCTATCAGATACGGTTCCCCTGCTCCCCCTCGCCGCTCCGCACCGCCCAGGCGGCAAAATACGCGCGTGCTCGTTATGAGCGATGCTTGTTCAGCGCGCTTATCTAGAGGCCCTGATGGTGATCAGCGAAACACCGGGTTGTTGAGTTGCTTTGGAATTAATTTGATTTTAGTTTATTATCTTGTGTTCCTTAGTCTCATTCTTTGATTAGATTAAAACAGAGACCACATCAGCCTAGTTTCTGTTCCCCAGAATCTATATCAGTCAATTTGTGTTTTGCTTAGTTGAGTTCTAGTGTTTCTAGCTTATGCTTTATTACTCATTTTATTGTTTCTCTAGTCTAGTTATTCTTTAGTGTTAGATTTATTTCCTTTTCTCCTGTGTACTCTTCCTCACCCCCGTGCCATTTTCTCTCTGCACTCACACCTATAAAATGTCAGTCAATTAACTTGGTCCTGTTTCAACGTTCTACCTTTCACTCTCAGCTGGGACCTAAATGAGTTTCTCATCTAAAGTTACATCTATAATCACTGCTGAGCAGAACAACTCAACTTATGAATAGCCCTGGTAATTCACATTTTCACCACTTTGCTACAAAGATCACTATGAAGTAACTGTGATAATAAAAGCATAACATTATTTAAAAAAAGGAAATGTATTATATACAAAGTTATCCACTCGTGCCTTTTTATCTGTAAATAAAACACAACAGCAAAGATGTTCAGGCTTTTTAAGGTTTTCAGAAGACCTAAAAACATATTAGCAATATTAAAATTTAATGTCAGGTTCTTGTGGATGAAGTCACTGATGAGATTCTGAGTCTACAGGTTTCTTATAAAACTGAACAAAAGACTTAGTTTCGTTTCACATGGAGTCATTGATTTACTGATGGCAGGACTTTGCCCTGCAGTCGGCGGGTTGCTGGTTCTATCCTGACTCCACCTGCCTCTGTCGTCGTGTCCTTGGGCAGGACAGTTCATCTGCCTCGCCTGCTGGTGGTCAGAGGGCCTGGTGGTGATGATGCACAGCAGGCTCACTTCTGTCAGACGTGAAACCATCAGCTTGTGTGTGTGAATGACTGTAGTGTGAAGTGCTTTGGTGTCCTCTGATCTTGATAAAACGCTGTACAAGTACAAGCCAGTTATTGTCCATTACCTAATCTAATCATTCAGGGTTACAGTCACAGATCTGATACTTTGACAATAAACAGTCAAGTTCTAAAACTTTTTCTCCTGTGCAGTGTGATGGATGTAGAGTGACGACCATGGATGGTGGAGAAGGGAGTTTGAGTTTTAGCTGTTCTTTCTGATCACTGCATAAACGACTCAGTATCTAGTTTGGTTCAACTCAGACCTTGAATCATTTCATCTACAGTGATCAGTGATTTTCATCCAGGTGTTTATCTTGGGGTTTCTTGCACTGTAGATAGAAAATAAAAAAATGCACCAAATAGATTAGATATTGATGGCAACATCCAGAACAGCAGCTCAAGCAGAATCAGATCAGTTTGATTTCATTCCTTAGAGAGAAAAATCTCAGTTTTTCAGAATAATGCCCAGAAAAACTGTCTGATATTATTCAAGAACAATGTTCTTCTTACCTGGCATATTGAAAGCGACTTCCTCTTCTGCTCCTCCTGTACTGTCCTTTTATGTAGAAAAGACAAATTATTTGGTAAAATAAATTTTGGCATCAATATCTGTTCACATTACAGTTCAGTTATAAACTTACTTACCCGTCGTTGATTTGCCTCTACAACTGTTAAAACCTTTTGTACAACTGTTAAAAACGAAATGTTACAATTATTAAAACAGTAATTCTTTTTAGAATGCTAATATTTTAATTTGTATTTATTCATCTCACTTGATTTTGTATTTTTGTGATATTTCCAGAGAAAAACACCACCAATTGTTGCTGCAACTAAAAAAACCACCAGAACACCGATCACAATTCCTGTGATGTTGGAACTTTTTTCTCCACATTCAGCATCAGTTGAAGCTGTTCCTGCTTTTATCAGCTGAAGGTTTTCTTTTTCACACCTGAAATAACAGAAACATTCATTCAGGTAAATTTGGTAAAACTTTCTCCTGTGTTTATACTGTTTGTAAGAGACTATCTTACTGTGTGTGATTCTGACATGACAACATTGTTCCATCAGAAAATGATCCACTGATGCATTCAGAGCATTCTGTGTCTGTGGAGGCTGTTCCTGTACAAACACAGATCAGTTTAAAGTTAGTCAGAAGATTCTGATCAACATGTAACTCAGTTTATTCTTTTCAAATGTTCAAAAGTCAGAATTCATCTAAAAATAAAAGTGTTTTTGTGTTGAAGAGAATCAGACCAACCCATCCTGCTGATGAACTGTCCTGGTTCACAGCTCCTGTGTTTCTGTGCCACAACACAGCCTTCTGATGTAGAGTCTGTACAGTAGAATCCCTCCATTGGTTCACAAACTGTGTCTGCAGTTATTTCACATCCTCGCTTTTCCTTCAGACCAGCTCCTGTGAACACATACAGATTACACATGTATGGAGGAAACTGACATCAACATGGTGAACCTCATTTAAATGAGTCAGAATAGTTTCTACAAGTGAATGAAAGGAGAAATCTCAATAAATGATTTACAATTATGTTCAAAATAATAGTCTAACATCACTAACCAGATCAATTCATTCACACACACATTCACACATTCATGGAGGTAAGCTACATTGTAGCAACAGCTGCCCTGGGGCAGACCGACAGAGGCAAAGCTACAATGCACCAGTGCCACGACCAGCAGGGACAGTGAGTGAAGCGTCCTTCCCAAGAACAGGAGCATCTAGTTTATATACTTCATAAACTGTGGAATTCTTCTTATTTTAGACAAATTTTTAACTTATCCACAAAAAAAAAAAAAAAACTGATATTAGTCTACCCAAAAAAACTCCTTTTAGCTTTAGTTCTTATAACAGGAGCATCTAGTTTATATATTTAGGAATTAGAACAAAGAGAAACTCCGATTAGCTTATCTAGAGAAACTATTCATTACCTTAGATCAACATTGTCAGAACAAGGCCATTAAGGCCATTTTCTCACATTTATTGTAAGATAAAAGCCATTCTAAAGATATTGGATATTTTTTTTTAATTCACTGCAAATATTTTGGACTGTTTGTGGTTGTAAACAGATTTTCTTATGGAAAATAAAATAAAATAAAAAAGTTGAAAAGTAACAGTCAAGTAACTGCACCTGAACCACAGGTAGAACATGGATAACATCTCTTTAGTCTATTTGGCAGGTCCATATAAGTCCTCTCTGGGCATTTCTGGCAGGATGTACTTTTAAATTCTGTACAGTCTGTTTTGACTCGAGTGCCTGTTGAGAAATAAACACAGTTTTTCATTTTAAAGAGCAGGATGGTGCTTTGCATGATGAATCACCTTCAGGCCATGAAAGCAGTGTAACTGTAACAGAGTTTATATCAGAATAATCAGTAATTCATAACTAACTGGAACATACCAGGAGGACACATAGGACAGCATTCACCCTCTATCTCATACTCAGTTAGATGACATGTGATTGAATCGACTCTGAAGTCTCTCATCAGAGTCATCTGTAAAGAGAAAGAGCAGTTTTTCTATCACTATTTTTTTCCCCTTGTTTTGATTACTTCTTTTAGCAGTTCTATATCAGCGGCACATTAATACATGGACAGACAAACAGTTAATTAGTTATTTTTGAAGCACTGAGAAGATTATGAAAGCCTTATTCCACCTCAAGGTTACAGCTACGGTCTGTGATCAATTACAAAGTTCCTTCTCTTTACCATTTACATTTACAACAAAATAAAAACAGAACACAAAGAGGGAGCAAAGGAGTACTACTTTGAAAATACGATAATTTTATGTACATAACCATAAGGAAATTATACAGCAAATAGACACTTCCTGAAAGATGAAAACTATCTTTTTTACTAATTTTTATCAATCCAATATTCATGCATATTGTGTTTGGTTTATATATGTCACCCATTTTGACCATAGGATTTTAAATTTGTTCATCTGAAAACGGATTGAGAATGTTTATCTTTTCATCTGATAGATTTCATGATCACACCCTGTTCATTTTTCTACAGTAGGTGTGACAGTCTTTTTTTCTTTTACACTGGCTGAAATTAATATCAGTCAAAGATATTTTGTCTGTCAGACATGAAAAATGTCTGACACGGATATTTGCATTGTTAGGTAGAAATTCTGTGTAACCCAGATTAAAGGTGGTGAATTTAAAATGTATTCTTATATTCAAGGTATTTTCAATATTTTGAGCATTTCTATCCAATAGTCTTACTACTGTCATTTATATTACTAGGCTGGCTTCTAACAGGTGTCAACGTCTCCTTGGCATTATTTGCTGCAATTACTGAATTTACTTTATAAAATTTTAATTCACAACACATTTCATCTCAAGGAACATTACATGACTATTCATATCCAAAAAGCTGCAATCTATACAACTTAGTTCTTGAGATCCAAATTTGATTAACATGCAAATTTCTTCTGTTTTTGCTTTTCTGTCAAACCACAAAACATTTTTAATATCAGACAAACATAGCCTTGGTTTTTTTTTAAGATAATCTTATTTATCAGGAAATTACCAAATCTACAGTCTGACCAGTTGAAACAAGAAATCACTTAATAACTTCTATGACAACATAAAGTAGACTGAAATATCTCAAACAACACTTGACTGATCTGAAGAGATTTAAAATGAAAAACAAATTCACTGACATCCATCAGTCTGGAAAGGGTTCTAGATCCATTACTGAGTCTTTGGGATGGAAGAAAACCTCAGTGAGAACCATGATCCACAGATGGAGAACTTATGAACTCATGTTTTACTTGAGTCATTTGTTTTATTGCAAGTTAATGTTTATTGTGACCATGTGTTGTAATAGAGTGGTTTTGTTTTGTTTTTCAGTCTCTGTGTGCTGCAGTCTTGGACAAATTTCTCTTGTAAAAGAAATATTTGGATTTCAATGGGACAAACATGCTTAAATAAAGATTATTATTATATTATTATTGAACAGTGAAGAATATTCCAAGGAGTGAGGAGTCCACCAAAATGACTCCAAGAGGAATCAATGACCTCTACAGCAGGTCACAGAAGGACCTAGAACAACATCTAATGCTCTCAGGGCCTCATTGCTTCAGTTAAGGTCAGAGGTCAAGCCTGGAAGAGAGAGAAAATAACCTTCATAGGAGAGATCCACTTTCAGAATCACTGCTGACCCAAAATGTCATAAAATAAAAGTCACACATCAACTAACAAAAACATCCTGACGATCTCCATGACATTTAGGAAAATGTTCTGTGGATTTGCCATTGTTGTGTCCATGACTCTATATGTCAGTTAAACTAAGCAGCATTTTACTGCTGCTTACAGTTTGTCATTTGTTGCCCATGTCAGGACTTTGACTAGGCCACTCCAAAGTCTTCAGGTGTATCTGCTGTATTTGTCTTTGATAAACACCCTCAACCTCTGATTTGCTAGACAACATTTTGTCTCTGGTCAAAGTAATCAGACCTTCCTCCAGATCCATCAAGGCTGCTGACTTTATGCTGGCCACCAGCCAAGAAAAAGACATGGGAAATGTGGAGGCATGAGACTCAGGAACTACAGTGGTGTGAAAAGTGATTTCCCTCTAAGCTAAATAACTGGTTGGGTCACTATTAGCAGTAAAAACAACAGCCAAGTGATGATATCATACAGTGAATCTTTTCTAGCTGTGGAGGAATTTTGTTCCATTAATCTTTGCTGAATGTTTCTAATTCAGCCATAATGAAAAGTTTTCCAGGATGAACAACCTTTTCAAGGTCATACCGCATCACCTTAATAGGGTTCAGGTCAGGACTTTGAACAAACTGTGTACTCTCCTTCAAAACGTAATACGCTTCTGCCACGGCACTTTTTAACAAATTGGTGTCGGACCACAAAAAGGGCATTTGTTTTCAAGACTTTGACTTAAAATGAAAGTGCAAGTAAATGGATCTGATTATATAGACACAGAGTTTACCCTTGGCCACCATTAAAAATAGCATTTAAAAAAAATAGTATTCTAATAAAATATCCATTTTTATGTCATAAATAAATTTACCAGTAGCATAGATTTTGTCACCCAACAGATCATTGTTAAAGACAGGATTAAACTTCTCTGGTGCTGAAAACATCATCTCATGGAAATTCAGGATGAACCAAACTGCGACACCGAATGCTGAAAGTCTTCATCTGCAAGACAAGAAACAAAGAAACAAACACACTGTTAACCTGTAGGAACTCAGGAGACTTTAGCATGAAGCAGGGCTGCAGGATATTGGGAAAGCATGTGATATGTGATTTTGTTACTGAATGTTGAAGTGATTATATGATTTGTTATAAATAACTAAACATTAGTAATGCCAATCTTCTATGAACATACACATTGAGGCATCAAGTCAACTACTGGAAAAGAAATACAAGTTCTGTAGGTTTTGGTCATAAAATTAGAATATCATGAGAAAGTTGGTGTAAATCAATAATTCCATTCAAAAACTGAAACTTGTACATTATATTCATTCATTACATACAGGCTGATATATTTTAAATGTTTATTCCTTTAGCGTTGATGATTATAACTAATGAAACTCCAAATTCACTATGTCAGAATATTAAATATTGTGAACAGGTTCAATATTGAAGACCCTTAGTGCCACAAATGTTACCAATATCACAGGATTTGTGGTTGATGAAGAGAGGAATAAGCACAGTTGAAGAGTTTGTGAAAAAAATTATTTGTTCCCATGTTCTGGAGGGAAACAGGTTATTTCAGGCAGCTAAAAAAAATTGGTTGCCCCTCTAGTAACTTTGGCAAATAATGACAAAATATTTTCAAAATCTCAATGATTGTTATGTCTGACAGTATGACTGAGCTACCAAAGATCAACTAGAATTTTTTTATCCAGAAATCTGTCATATTTTATATAACGGGATTTACCAGAAAGCCTACACGCTCATCTTTTCAGAAAGTCTTAATTTTTTGTGCCCTGCTGTCAGCCAGCTTCTATCCTCTTATATCAGCAATGAAAACTCAGAAATATGCACAATGTGTTGGAAACCCGTGGTTGATGTCTGACTTTTAATTGTCAGGCTTAAGTGACAAAAGTTGGAAAAAGATCGATGCTCTTCGATCTTTGTGTGGAGGTAAAAAGACCTCCACACAAGACCTCGTTTATTTATTCATTTACTACTTTGATATCTGCCGATTAAACTGAAAGTTACAACACTGACATGATTATATGAGTAGTTTTTACCGAGAAATCGATCAGAAGCGCCGTGAAAACGTCAGATCCGACGGATCCGCCTCTCTGGCTGCAGTGCGCGCTCCCGACGAAGGGGAAACATTTTCATAGGGGAACAGAATTTCGCACAAGACCTGCCCTCGTGATTAGGGTTCACGCGCTAAAGCGGTTTGGAAATCCCGACAAGGCGGCGCCTGATCCCGCACTCAATTTTCAGCAGCGAGACTACAACTTCGCCCTAAAGAGCCCGACCGTTCGGTAGAACCAGCCAAAAAACTTGTTACTTCACAAAAGCAGACTGCAGTGAAGTTAGTTTCAAGTTAGATATTCGCGCTCCGCAGAGTAAGCGGCATCTAGCTCAAGGTTGATCCGATTTATGAATGCTTATGTCGGCCAGCCGTTCTCTACCGATCCCTCCTCAAGCGCTGGGAGGTTCACTTAGGGACCGTCAACAAACAAAACTCCTAACAAACAAATGTAAATAGATGTTTGCCGTGTGACCAATTGACACAAAAAATTGGTAATTCATGGCATTAAATGAGACACACTATTTTCTATTTAATCAAGTCATATTCAATATTAAAAATAATTTTAATATTAAATAAAATAATGTTTTCTTCAAAGGCACACATTTTTATAAAATTTTGACCCTATAATTTTTTAAGGTAACTTTATATTTAAAAAATATATTTCTTTTTTTTCCGGTCACCCCTCTATGGGCTGCCACCTTATCGTGGTGGATGGGTTTGAGTAGCAAATAAATTTAAACTAAACTTCAACCAGCAGTTTTCATAACTTTTGTTTAAAAGCTAATCTCTAAACTATGGAACAGAACCCCGCTCCAAATTAAACTTTATACTTTCGGTGTTCCGTTTTCTACCCAAACCTTCTTTACAAGACACCACTTGATTCAGGGAGACAACTGCCTTCGTTCAAAGTCCATATTAAAAACAAAGAGACATGATATGAGCAGCTAATTTTACCTTAGATCATCCCTTGGTGTAGTTTCAGGTTGAAGATTCGTCACCGTCAGACATTCACCATTTAGCTCCTTCGCTTAGCGTTGGTCGTCGTCTTCTTCTTCTTCTTGAGATTTATTGGCGGTTGGCAAAAAAAACGTTTGGATGTGCATTACAGCCATCTACTGGAAGACAGTATATGTGTACACACACATATATATATATATATATATATATATATATATATATACACACACACACACACACACACATATATATGGGTGGCACCTACGCCCACCCACCGGACAAAGATGAACCACATTTAAGAAGCTGCACATTTCTCTTCCATGATGTCTTTCTGATTCGTTTAGAGTTTCCCATCGTGTTAAACAAGGTGCGACTCCAAATAATTTAGAAGTGCCACTTAATTTGTCAGAGGTTTATAGAATGAACTAAAACAGCTTGACCTAAGTCATACAGTTTAAAATATATTTTCCCTGACCTGGCCACATGTATGTACACTTCTGAATTTTAAGAAAGTTACAAAAGAAACATGAATATTTGAAATGTTCTTTCAAAGTTTTCTCATATTTATCAAATACAAATAATTTTGATAATTCTAGATGACCTGAAACAAGAGAAATTTCATCTGATTTAACTCGTGAGGAAATTTTGTTATTTTTACTCTGTAAATATCTGGTTTCAACTGTAAATGTCTACCACTGTCATTATTACCCAATTGTTCTTGTCATTCAAAGTATTTTGTTTTGAACAATAGATTTTCCCTCTGTGCTAGTTGCATCTATAAGTACCAGTGAGTGAAACATGATGGGCCTGTGTAATTCACATCTTCACAACAAAACCTATCATAGTACCAGGTGATTGTCTGAACAAGTAATCAAAAAGGCAACCAAAGGTCAAAAAATTTCAGAAAACCTACAACATATTAGTGATATTAAAATTTTCATTCAGGTTCTTGTGAACCAGAATATGAATATCAAATGATATCTTAAAGCCGGTGGATAAAAACACTGAAAAATTTCTGAGTACTCAGGTTTCTTATAAAACTTTACAAAATGACTGGTTTTCATTTCACATGAAGTTATTGATTTACTGCATATACTTGGAACTTGGCCTTTGAAAATCAGACAGGCAGATTAACTTCCTCTATGTAAATCTTTACTTATCTTGTTTTTTCTGTGACTTTTGACTCAGTTTGAGGTGTTGGCTTTAATGTCTTAATTGTTTTGTTACATTTTTGTTTTAGTGTACAGGACTTTGGCCAACACTGTTGTTTTAAAGCGCTTTACAAATTTAATTGTATATTATTTCATTGACATCAGTCAGCATTCTTCAAATATTCTTATATCCATTTGAACAACTGTTGTTCCAATGCAGTGTGATCAGTGTAGTGATGACCATGACTTAGCTGGTCTCATTCTTTGATTAGATCAATCTAGTTTCTGTTCTTCTTTAGTTGAGTTCTAGTGTTTCTAATTAAGTTTATTTCTTGTTTATGCTTTATTACTCACTGTTTCTTTAGTGTTAGATTTATTTCCTTTTCTCCTGTGTACTCTTCCTCGCCCCCTGTGCCATTTTCTCTCTGCACTCACACCTACAAACTGTCAATTAACTTGGTCCTTTGTTTCAACGTTCGACCTCCCAGTACTCTCACCTCTTCATCTGTTTCTCATCACTGGTTTCTTCCATTCCTCCTTTCTGGAATGTTTATGTGTTTAGATTTCCTGAGATTTATGAATTGTTTTCTGTCCTGATCTCTGTGGATTTTTTGTAAGTTTTTTTTATTCCTCATCTTTCAATAAACCAGTTTTAATCACCTACTCCACATCTCTATCGTTCTGCATTTGAATCCTCCATCAACCAACCAACCTAATCATGACACTTACCAAAATATATTAAAATACAAACTGAATAACCAAACTGATAACTGGATAATAAATTTAGGATGATTTCCATTCAGTCAAGAAGTAGGTAGTTAAGGAGACAAATTATTTTTTAATAATCAGTTATTTTCATAGTATTAAAATACCACATCGAACATTATATTCTTCTCAATAATTAATTTAAAAAGTTTTACTGATGTTAAAGGGGCAGTAGAATGCATTTTTCGGTGCTATTTTTATTGCTAGTAACTGTAACCTTCAGTCATTATAAAAATGCTACATGTCACACATAAATTTAACTTCACTATCTGATGCTTTAAATTGGGTTTCTATCTTTTTAAGAAGCTCTTGCTCTTTCCAACACTTTGTCTTCAGCACATCATCACAACAATGTTTAATTATCCCATTTGCAACTGTTCTGAGGTGCTTTTCACTGAGAAGCAGTTCACATAAGCTCAGCAGACACACAGATCCAGCAGGCACTTTCTGGCTGGACAGCCTGAAATGCTTCTACAGAATCTCATCAGATTGAACACAGGACTCTGGCTGAGTCACTCCACAATGTTAACTCAGTCAGAAAATTACTTGAAACCTAAATGCAGCAGGGACGAAAAATTTGGTGCTTAACTGTTTGTGTTGCATATTTACACCTTTGAGCATCCACATAATCTGTGTGTCATCAACTCAATAAATAGTCTTTTTGTTATCAGACTTATTTCATTCAAAACTACCAGAATCTATATTGTCAACTAGTGCCCCATGTTGTTGAGCAACAGAGCCTATTGTCAGAAGCAGAACATTTACAATAGCAACTGCCCCATTTTCGGAAAGTTTTCTTTCACTCTCAGCTGGGATCAAAATGATTTTCTCATCTAAAGTTACATCTATAGTCACTGCTGAGCAGAACTCAACTTATGAATGGCCCTGGTAATTCACATTTTCACCACTTTGCTACAAAGATCACTATGGTGAAGTAACTTTGTGATAATAAAACCATGACTATTTAAAAAAAATGTACAAAGTTATCCACTCGTGCCTTTTTATCTGTAAATAAGAAAACACAACAAAAACTGTAATATTAGATGTTCAGGCTTTTTAAGAAGACCTAAAACATATTAGCAATATTAAAATTGTATGTCAGGTTCTTGTGGATAAAG